TGTTGCAAAAAGTCTTAAATATGTAGCGTTTTCACACCTTCAGCCCTCAAACTTGTCGATTTAGCGAGTATACCTTCTTTTATTACCAACCACTTGATTTTAATTGTAATCGTAAGATTTTGATAGTTAAAAGAAGGAAACAAACTTAGTCGACCAAATGGCCACTGCAATTGAAGCGTCGGACAGGCGCAATATGTTGTAATTTCAATAGTATCGTTTTTTTATCATCTACAAGCTTCAATTGCAGTGGCCATTTGGTCGACTAAGTTTGTTTCCTTCTTTTAACTATCAAAATCTTACGATTACAATTAAAATCAAGTGGTTGGTAATAAAAGAAGGTATACTCGCTAAATCGACAAGTTTGAGGGCTGAAGGTGTGAAAACGCTACATATTTAAGACTTTTTGCAACATAAAAAAATGTCCGACTTTTCAACATGAAGGCATCTGCAGCGAAGTATCAGCTTGTAGGTAATGACTGAAAAAAAGTTGCTTGGGCCTGCTGACTACCACGTTTGGAGGTTAAAAAATGCATTAGATTTAATGTTAAGGTGGCTTGGGTGATTTTTACAGGAATGATAAAAATCTTTGAAATTTTGAAATTGTGTAAATAAAGTATGCCCAATTAATTTGGGATAGAAAAAATACTAGAGTCAGCCACTTTATTTTTCTGAAAATCGTTACGAAAAACTAACCAATTTAACAAGCAATCTTATAGCAATCTTATACATAAAACGACTAAGAATAACTCTGTACGTAACTCACAAACCTCTACAAATGAAAAATGCATTTGTACCTTTTTTTTATGTATAATCTCTTAGAATTGTGAAAATTATATGTAAGCCAAGTGGGTTTCAAGAAAATTATGAGAAAAGCGATTTATTGTCTTCTGCGCACGCGCAAATTAAAATAGAAAATTTTCATAATCTATAGAACCTTGAAAAGACCCTCGCTTGGAACGGCACCAAATGCCCAAGCCACCTTATCTACCCTCGGCTTCATCTCGGGCGTTTTTTCACATAAAATCTAAGACATTGTTAACCTTGCTCACTAGGTGTGTAATATAGTATTGTAAGTAATCAAGTAAAAAGAAATTAAAAACAATACAAAAAAAAACTCACCAGACATATTTATAATTTCTTTCATGTCCCGCGCCTCTTTGGTCGGCGCGAGCTTCTTTAAGTTTTTCTTCTTCTGTTCCCTTGCTGGTTTCCAATCATCCGACGAATCCGTCGTGTTTTTCACTAATGCCTGTATAATCTCCGCTCTATAAACCTTACTTCTAGCGTCATCTGGATTCCAAGGTACATTGTCTTCCAAATTGTGTTCAATTGTGTCATTTTCCGCGTACTGAGCGTTACGTAACCGTTTGACTACATGATGAATTAGCCGACTTTTGACCGGTTTGTTAAACTTGTTCGCATCTAGAAGGCTCTTTAGTATACTGACGCTTCGCTCGAGATCACGTACAAGGCTGTCCGAGTCACCCCAAAGTTTTTCATCTATGCTCGAGCTTGTGTTTGGCATTGTCGAATTGGAACGCCCGGTGTCAATCGTTGACACGTGACTCGAGCTAACATTAGGTACATTTTCATAAATGTGACCTGAGCGTAACGCAAAAAAGAGGGACACATCATTAGTCTTATTAACAAAGCTTGAAGTCACTTGAATAGGACAAAATTTACCTGGAAAATACTCGAAACTGTTTGCTTGGCCTGTTACGTTTTCTGTATTATCAGCGTGAGGTGTCAATGAAACGGTTCTAGAAGAATCAAAACTACTATCCGTTTCCTTTTTATTTTGATCTTCTTCTTCCGACTTTTTTCTGACGCACGGTGCTTTTGGATGTAGTATATTATATGCACTTTTAACGATCGGTTGTACCGATCGTGGGGCTAAGCTCGTCGCTCGTGTCAATGGTGGCAGCTTTTCTTCCTCCTGAAAATAATACTCTTTAGCTTAAAAATTATTAAACTAAAAATGTATTCATTGAATCAAATAAAGCAAATTAACGCCAAAAATGTATTAAAAGGTTTATTTAGAATAAACTTATACGAAATCAAAAGAATATTGAGCTTAAGAACTTTAATCAAAAGAAAAAAATAAAATTATTTAAGGAATAAACTTACTGTAAGTACAGAGACCTGAATACCAATGGACTCCCGATCGCAGGCCCTCATGCTCGTCTGTATGAATTTGTCACACGTAGTCGGCTTGTGGTGATTATTCACCACCGTAGCTATCGACGATGACGAATGGAATATAGGCCTCTGAGCCGCCTTTTCGTTCAGACCAAATAAATTTAACTCACTTTGACTGCGTTTGAGTAGAAACTTGGTACTTGATGACTCAAGAAGATTCATGGACGAGCTCTTTTTGAGTGGCCGTTTTTCTTCTGTTTTTTCACCTGTAGTTGCCGGTTGTTTTCTTCTTGAGGGATACGCGGAGGATTTAGCACGATGCTGTCCAGACTCATCGGGCAAACAGTTGCAGATGGATATTGACGCTTGTTCTTTGGGTTGCAATTCTGAATCTCCGTTGGAATATTTGAAAGCGTATGGGAGCTTGAAGGCATGTGACGATGATTTTGGTGTTTCATTGAAATCACTATTATCCTGAGAAAATTAGACAGTCTGTGGTAATATTCTATTTATTTGTGTATAATTTTATGGACCTCAATTCAAATACTCTATTTATAATAAGAAGTTTATTTCATAGAGTAAAGAAGACTTTTTTTTAATCTCAAAAACTAATTTAATTGATGTTAGATTTAATGTAACATGAGAAGATAAATATAGGATATTGACAGTCTCATGCGCTCACATATTGCTTATTTATAAAAAATAATTGTACGTCCATACTAATAATTAATGTAAGCATAATAACCCACCTTCAGTAATGGTTAATAGGATCTATTTATTCATAACATATAAATTAAACTTAATCTGTACAATCATAATCACTTACTTTTATGCGAGAAAGAAATTGAGGAGTACGCGTTTTTACATAAAAATAAAAATTCAATAAAAGATTTTTTCATTGATTAAATTCTCACCTATACTTACCCTTATAAATGTAAAATTGCCATCTAAACTATTTAATTTAATTGACGCCTCGGTAAAAAAAAAAACACTAACTGAGAAACTAAGAAATTTTTCTCATAGTTTGTAGTGGTAAAACAGTCAGTTTTATTTTTTTATTTATTTAGTACTTTTTATTGCCCGAGGTAGTAATTTTTGAAGTTATACTTCTAGAGGCGCGTTATGCGCTAGGGTAAATCAGAGATTTCAGATTTTGACCTTGAGAAAAAGTGACAGAAGTGAATTTTGCTTGATTCTTCCCCCCTTCCCCCATGACGTAGTTCCGGTTCCCCTCTACTCCACATCACATCACCACGCCACACATTTTGAATTTTATTTCTTAAAAAAAAAAAAAAAAGTTTCCACAGAGATTTAAAGCCCGGATTTTCTGCACACTAGTCAAGGCCCTTACCTACTCTGCTACGAATGGTCCCAAAATTGGAAATTCGATTACTGCATGTTATGGTGTAGTACGTTACTTATTTTTTATGTTAATTTTTACTTAATGTATATTAATTCATTCAAAAATTAAAAAAAAATTTTTTGTACTGTACAAATACAATAATTGATTTTTATTGTGTTTTCTTCTTTTACAACTTTTTTATTCGTGATTGAAGTGATTTTTGACTTAATGACGTTCTTCACATAGTTAATGGAGGAAAACTTCAAAGAAGTGAGAGGAACGTTAATGTGTGCAGTAATGCTAGCAATTGTTTTTCTCGTGCGGATGTACTCACATACATGCTTTTACACATACTTGCTCCCCCCTCTTTCTACATTCATTTAAAAATCAACTCGTGAGTTTATTTGAAAATTCGATAGGTTCATTTAAAAGAAATATATCTTTTGTACCCAAAAAATTAGGAGATTCCTACAAATCATTAAAATCCCATTTAACATGATTTGTTCATAAGGTTAAATGTTAAATCTCGATTTTTTAAAAATTGAAAATATATAAAATAATGGTACAGTCAAACGAGCTGCAATTTTTACGGGTATTTTTTATGCTATTTCATTATACGTGTAATATTTGACTAATATCTGTCAAAAAAACATATGTGTGATAAACGTCCGGATGGGGCATTCACTGGCCTGTAATACTACTCTGTTGAAGAATGCGATACTACAAGATGGTTTTTCTTAATTTTCTAGATACAATTATATTTTGGGTATCAAACATGGACTAGAAATAAGTGTGGGAGCGTATGTGATAAATGTAACCGTGATGTTACAAATGTAATCAGCGTATAGGCAGAAGGAAGTTGCTTTGAAACCATTGGAAGATTCGACGAAAGCGCAGTCTTGTACTGGCCAGCCTATATATTATTTTTATTGTATTGTGCTGTAATATATTTTTTGCAATCGTAAACTCATTAAATATTAATTGAAATCATACCCAATCAACGTATGTGGGTCATTCTACTAAGAACGGCATATTTTATGTCCCAGCCGAATACAAAGTCGTTTAAGGATATTGATCTGGAAACTTTTTTAATCATTCAAGGGATGTTTACTACTGAAGGTACAACAGAATTTAGACCATACAAGAGCACTCCTTTATTTTAAGATGCAAAAAAGGGGCTAAACTAGCATTATGGGCTCATGTCTCATTCTAAAATTTGCAGTTTTAACCATGCCTGGAATCAAAACATGGAGTTTGTAATTTTTTTACGGTATGGGATCTTGAACTTATTAACACAAACAACATTTACATGAATTTTAGGCAGACAAAAAGAATTGGGTCTTAGAGTTGGCTGCTGTTAAAGTTGCGGGATCGAAATCGTATAAATTAAACATTGTAACGGAAAATACTTTCACAAACGCACGCGATTGGATTTAGGCATTCCAAATAGGGCGTTTTGTATAAAGAAGATCAAGGATGTTGCAGGAATTTTTTCAAATTTTCCATCCTAATAAGTCAGTCATACAAGCTCACGAATTTGGAGATTCTATCTCTCCAAAATAAAAACTAAGAGTCCAGAGTGCCAAGGAATGTTATGTAACTTTTTGAAGAGTTCGGTTATTGACTCGGAAGGTGGCGGGTTACAATTTAGCTATTTTATATGATACAAGTGAAGTGGCAAAGTTTAATTTGCGTTTGGTGCATTTAAGTCTTGATTTTTTGACGATTTTATAAGAGCCCGTAACGCTCCTTTTTTTGCTAAAAGCCCGTAACGCTATCCCGTAACGGTACAAAACCCATTGTATCTTCACTGCATTGTATCTGAATGTTAACTTATCGGCTGGTACAGTATAGCATATGACAGTAGGGACTCAGTACATCGTACAAGTGCAAGAATAAAGCTGAATTTTCGCTGTGAGTGGTATACTCATGATATAGTTTTAATATGAGTTTTCAAACCCGTAACGCTACTTTTTTATTGAACAAATCGCATATCTTTGTGCAGTGTTTTATTATCGACTCCGATAGTGTAGTATATAATAGGAGGAACCTAGTATATGGTACAAGTGCAAAGATACAGTTAAATTTTCACAGTGCGTGGTATCATCATGATTTTAAGATGTTTTTTCTAACCCGTAAGCTAATATTTTTTTAAAATACAATAAAAAAAGTCTTAAAAAATTTTCTTGCACAGATCCAGTAAGGCCCAAAAAATTTTAGCTTATTTTGGTCACGGGCAATACAAAAAAATTTTTAGAAAAATTTAAAACCCGTTTTAAGTATCTGTCCATTCCGGCCTCGAAATGTTATGCCATTTTCAGTGGAATGACCCGTATATATGTATGTGTGTGTAGTAATCTAGCTGATGACAAAAAAATTACGTAAACAACAAGCTCTAATCCAAGCATAGTGATATTAAAAAGTCAAAAGCAACTAACGAGTAAGCCATGAGGTTTTTATTAATTTTTGAACTTATACTTTATTTTAAATGATAAAATATTGTGATCCAAGATTATGAACAGGTTGNACTAATGGTAGTTTGAATGCCGTTTGGTTACTAACTCGCATGAAAGTCTATACTAATTAATTTTTTTTCTCGAGTATACGTCTAAAAAAAAATATAAAAAAATTCATACGCACATACAATTTTCTAAATAAAACGTCATCTAACATTTTTTATTTGTTGCCAGAACCACCTTATGACAATTTTTAGTTTGCACTTTCTTTGACTGAGGCGTCAAAATGGTTCTTACTAACTTCGTAATAGTAATATACCTGTATGTATAAATAGTAAGAATATCAGAATAAGTACTTATTTAAAAAAACCATGTCAAGACGTAATTGGATTGCATTATAAGGAAAAAAATATAATACATACTTTCATAAAGCACTCGATATGCAAGATTAATAGGCAAGCAGTCGATAAAACTACCACTTACTTTAGAAAGATCTCTTCTGTACTTATCGTTTGGCAGCTCAGAACCAATATCATCTTCAATGACAATACCAGTCAAATGATTTTTAACAACTGGCGTGATTTCGATTTCACTTTCACTTCCAGATGCGTTACCAAGTACGGGTGTGGAGCTTGCTCTCAGCTCACCATTATTACTGATATTGCTGCTTTTACCTTCAGTTTTCTGGGTCGTCATCAACGACAGTACAGTAGCAGTAACAGTAGTATGTATTGCAGAGTTTGACGATCCGGGTGACTGCTGCTGACCAGTAGTGCCCTCAGGGTCGAGCCTAAGAGCTGCTGAGCAGCCACGCGTTAGAGCCATACGTTCTAGTGTACTCAGCTTCTGGAAGCGTTGGGCACTTAATGCACCGTTCGATGATGATGTCGCGGCTGCATACAAGTAACCAACGTCCGCCCCACTGTCCCACTCAAGAGGTTTGTGTGAGGCAATGCTCGAGGTTGGTGATGCGGAGGTTTTACGCTCGCTATGACTTGTTACGGATTCTTGATAACCGCTTGTCTTTTCTTTGGTAACAACGAGAGCTTCTGCACTGATCGTTGATGACGACTGTTGTTGATTTCGAAGTTCTTGGTCTTGATCTTGAGGACTGATGTGGCACAATGATTGTGACTCTGTCATGGATTGCTACAAATAATTAAAGTAATAACACAGTATTTGTTTGGCTCACACCATTTAGACGAAAAGTTTATACTCATAATTAAAATTTAAGCTGAATCTTGAAGAGAAGGTTTTTTTGAGAAGTAACAAACTTACTTTTAAGTAAAGAGATTCATCAGCAGAGGAGGACTGCCCAATCAATGGAGGTCTGGCCCAGCGCCGTCTTTCTTTAGGAATACACGATTTTACTCCATGATCCTGGCCAATGCAGCCTTGCCTACCAGTAACATACTTAGGTGTTAACTCATAAATACTATAATAATACTTGGCACAGTCAGCTGTGTTACACATTGATGTGGGCAATGAAAAATACTGATTTAAGTTAGAATTCTGCGAGTATCTAGTAGAAAATAAAAAAAAGTGGGAAAAATAATTTAATATTATTGAAATACCTTCTAATTATTATTAAAACACCAAAAATATTTTTACTTCTCATAATACTCCATGACTTGAGATGAAAGCGACTTGCTAGCAACAGTTGCTGTCAGTGGTATTCTGATATTTGTAGCAGCAGATGTAGAAGTAGCGGTCATAGTAGAAGTCTTGATTGGCCTCCAAGAGTTCTGAGCTAAGGGCAAGAAAGTCTGACATGCTTTTTGCTGTTGACTAAAAGTGTCGTCAGTTGATTGCTCCTGTTGAAGCACTTTTTTCTGCACTAACTGAGGATCTAGCTCATCAGTATGAGGTGATTTCTTTTTATTTGTAATGTTACTGTCAATACCTTTCTCTAAGTCAGGCTCCATTGTAGTCTGTACAACAATATGAGAACGCTTGGGCTTCTCACATCTTAGATTAAAAAGCACAAACTAGATGCATCTTCTGTTGACGACAATGACGATTTTTTTTTTCTTAATGATAAAATCAACATTAGGAGTCGATTTCAGCTAAACCCCAATCTTTGATGCTTGATCAATGTTCCTGTAGAATGTTTCCTCCGCTTATGACAATGATGACAGCGATTTCTTGGAATCAGTTTCCAGGACTCGTTCCGAATGATGTACTGAAGCCTGAGCCTGAGGCTATTTAAGGAGTTCCAACTTCCAAGTTAAAACTAATGGTAATGTGAACGTGTAATATGTGTCGCACTGTCGCGTCTGTATGAACAGCATTGGTGAGCATCGCATATCTGTATGTACCATAGAGGTATAAAAATTCTTCTACCTCTACATAATTCTTATACCTCTATGGTATGTACAGTAACCCTATATACATAAAGTGGCCATATAAAGTTTGTTCATTTATCTACCTGGGAGAGCTCCGGGCGTTAGGAAGCTACAGTCAGAGATTAGTAGAGAGATTGCTGACTGCAATGCTACGGCGCGAGTTCACTTTTGGCCACTGTTTCGAGCGCCCCGTCGCGGCCAAGCGGTCGAACCAGGCACACATATTTTTTTTTTTATTTGAGAAGCGTGGAGGGGGTATACCGAGTGTGTGCCTACAGATTCGCGTGGAAATGGGCATGTAGGCACATACTTCGGAGACGCGTGGAAGGGGTATACTGAATATGTGCCTACGGAGAGAGGAGTGGTGTGCATGGAAATGCCGACTACAGCTATATAACTATATATACCCGCGTATATCATAGCGAAAGAAAGCAACGAGTCTTTCTCGCTATATACTTATACTTACTAACTTCTTAAATAAGGTCTTAGAAATTAAGGGGAAATAGAGAAGAAAAAAAGATTTCACATCTAATATTTGTAAAATAAAAAAACCTATTTTAATTTACAATTCTCTATAACATATGAAAGTTTAAGAGAGGCTAGCCATATTATTTTTCGAAAATTAAATCATACAAATAAATGTTTACG